TTCTGGAATTTATTTACCTTCTCACTGGAGCACTGGAGCTGAGAGCCGGCTCCAGCTCTGAGGCCTCCGCTGCTGAAAGCAGGTATCTGGGGTTTGTTTAAATTGCAACAGAAAGCAGGTATCTGGGGTTTGTTTAGCTTCTATAATTGCAACATTGTTGCTTAGGGTGCAGCTCAGAGCCCGGCTGCGCAGACGGGGAACTTTGGCTTCTTTCATCACTGGAGCAACCAAGCCTCATGTTCGCTTCAGCTGCATGGCTGCTGGCCGCCATCTTGGTTGGCAGTTAATTTGCATATCACCCTGATTAGCCAATGGGAAGCGTGTCGGAGGTACAGTTAATTAGCCTATTTATCTTTTATTAGATAAAGAGCTTCTTCCCTAGCTGGTTTGGCTTAGTGGATAGAGCATTGGCCTGTGGACTGAAGGGTCCCGTGTTCGATTCTGGTAAAGGACACATGCCCAGGTTGTGGGCTCAATCCCCAGTAGGGGGTGCAGGAAGCAGACAATCAATGATTCTCTCTCATCATTGATGTTTTTCTCTCTCTCTCCCTCCCCCTCCCTCTCGGAAATCAATAAAAATATATTTTAAAAAAATAGCTTCACAAACAAACAAACAAAAAGACTAAAAGAGTTTGTTACCACCAAAACATCATTGCAAGAAATGCTAAAGGGACTGTTGTAACACAAACAAGAAATAGAGGGAGAGACAAAGGAACATGGGCATAAAGAGAAGAGTGGCAATAAATAAGTACCTATCAGTAATAACCTTGAATGTAAATGGATTAAATGTACCAATCAAAAGACATTGAGTAGCTGAATAGATCAGGAAACATGACCATATATATGCAGAACAAGAGACCCACCTCAGAACAAAAGACTCACACAGGTTGAAAGTGAAGGGATAGAAAAAATCTTCCAAGCCAATGGAAATGAAAACAAAACAAAAAAAGGGGGGGGGTAGCAATACTTATATCTGACAAAATAGACTTCAAAAGAAAGGCCATAAAAAGAGACAAAGAAGCACACTACATAACACTGAAGGACTCATTCTGACAAAAGGATATAGCATTGGTAAACATATATGCATCCAATATAGGAGCACCTAAATATATTTTTTAAAAACTCCTGAAGCATTTTAAGAGAGAGAATAGATTCATAGTAGGGACTTTAACATCCTATTGACATCATTGGGTAGATCTCCCAGACAAAAAATCAACAAGGAAACAGCGACCTGAAACAACACACTGGATCAGAAGGACATAATTGATATTTACAGAACATTCCATCCCAAAACTGCAGAATATACATTCTTCTCAAGTGTACATGGAAACATTCTCAAAGATAAACCACATGTTAGGACACAAACCAAGTTTCAATAAATTTAAGAAGAATGAAATCATATCAAACATCTTCTCAGATCACAATGGCATGAAGCTACAAATCAAGTTCAATAAAGAAACTCAAAACCATTTGAACACATTGAGGTTAAATAGTATGTTATTAAGCAATGAATGTGTTACCAATGAGATAAAGGAATAAATAAAAAAACCTTCCTGGGAATAAATGAACAAACAGCAACATAAAATCAATGAGATACAGCAAAAGCAGTCTTGAGAGGGAAGTTCATAGCTTTAAGAAACAGAAAAAAAGCTCTAAAAAACCATCTAACTCTATATTAAAAGAATTAGAAAGAGAACAATAATTAAAGCCTAGAGTAAGTAGAATAAAGGAAATGATAAAGATCAGAACAGAAATAAAAGACATAAAAATACAAAAGATCAATGACACAAAGAGCTGGTCCTTCAAAAAGATAAAGAGGATTGATAAACCTTAAGCCAGACTCATCAAGAAACAAAGAGAGAATCCAAGTAAATAAAATCAGAAATCAAAAAGGCAAAGTAACAACTGACACTACAGAAATACAAAGAATTGTAAGAGCCCGGTCAGTGTTGCTCAGTGGTTGAATGCCCACCGATGAATCAGGAGGTCATGGTTTGATTCCTGGTGAGGGCACAGGAACGGGTTGCAGGCTCCATCCCCAGTAGGGCGAATGCAGGAGGCAGCCAATCAGTGATTCTCTAGCATCATTGATGTTTCCATCTCTCTCTCCTTCTCCCTTCTTCTCTGAAATCAATATATATATATCTACACTAATAAAAGAGAAGCATGGTAATTAGCGTACGACCGCTATCCTTCCCATTGGCTAATCAGCATATCCTTATGCAAATTAACTGTCAGCCAAGATGGCGGCCAGCAGCCATGCACTGAAGCGAGCAGGGAGGCTTGCTTGCTCCAGTGATGGCGAACTCCAACGTTCCCCGCCTGACTTGCCGGCCTCTCAGCTGCAACTCTAAGCAACTATGTTGCAAATATAGAAGCTAAACAAAACCCCAGAAACCAGCTTTAGTCAGCCAGGCTTCAGCCAGCCGGACCGCAACATTGTATCAAATACAGAAGGAAAAACAAAGGCCAGAAACCGGCTTTCAGCAGCCGAGGCCTCAGAGCTAAAGCTGGCCCAGAATAAAAATTAAAAAAAAATTAAAAAAGGAGCGGTTGGGAGCTTCAGTCACCCGCCAGCCTGAAAACGGCCCTCAGCCCCTCACCCAGACTGGCCAGGCACCCCAGTGGGGACCCCCACCCTGATCCAGGACACCCTTCAGGGCAAACCAGCCAGCCC